CGCTGATTCCCCGAGGAGATGGGTTTAACAGTGTCGGCCTTATTACTTCTTCCCTCGCTGATGCAGCAGTGGATTATTTGAGACTGTCGACCAGTTGGTGATGGAAGTGGGTGTATTGTCTGGTGCGGGGTTAAGACGTAAAATAAGACGGTTCATTTGGTTCTTATGAGTATGCCTTAAGGTAGGAAGTGGAAATACCCAGGCGACGGTGGCTACGTGAGCAGTAATGCTACAGATACCGCCAGCATTGGGGGACATTCATGAGCGCCTTCAACATAGGTGCACCTACCAGTAGGTTCAAGTGAGGATCTTAGCCGCCATTTGGCCCGATCACTTACTGTACTCGTTCTTCAGTTAATAAATTACCAATGTCAGAGGCTTGTCCTAATATTAAGTTTAAACTTATTATTTAACAGATAAAGTGAATTTTTCAAAATTGCATTCAAAGTGACGAGCTGCATAACATGCCAAGCCAACATATTTTGCCAAAACATGTACCATAAGCAAGAATATTCCCGACTTTTCTTACTAAAGTTTTATTCTCTATCCACAGTCTTGTTCTTTGATTGTATAAGAGCAACGATTTGCACTTTAAAATGAATGAGGTATATGACATCGAAGTGTCCAGTATTGTCTTTCATTCGGACCTGACCGAGGACTGCCTTTTCAATTTTTTTGAATATTTCCGATCTTGCTACACCCGCAGTTAAGGCAAACAGCACTTCGATTGAATAAATATATGGCCAGCCTACCGAGGCTTAAATACCAAGCTACATTCTGGGGTTGGAATTTAGATGGTTACTAAAAACTAGTATTCCCCATTTAGGCATTCTGCTATTACTTGCCTCTGTTAAGGAAAAATATAAACAGGAATTGTTTCACTTTATTAAATTATTTAGTTTTTATTTAACAATCGTAAGCTATGGGAGTCCTTTTTTCGTTAAGCATAGTATTTGGAACAGAAAACTGAACTTTGTTACAGCACTGGAATTAAATGCCGCTTGGCAAAGGTCTCAGAATATGATCCACTCGATATACAAACCAAGGTCCTTAATTTGCAAAATCAGCGACCTTTGGAGTCTTTTCTGATTATTTTATCATACATCTAATCGAATGTCACTCAAAATTGCTATCAGAAGTACAAGGGTAATTTGAATCCAGAATTTACACTTTAGAAAATAGCAGAAGCCCAAACCGACGAGAAAATTACCGAAAATGAATGTATTTGAAGTTTTTAATAAAATTACAAATGTCAAATTATTAATCTTGTGTTGATTATTTTATTGAATTTAGAATCCAAATGTTTGGCGACATTGGATCGCAAATTTTATTCCTGGGTCTAAAAATTTCCAATATAGACTTTAGTAGATGCCTCTGGCATTAGAATTTTACGAATTAATACGACATATTTTCTGCCCAGCCAATATAAATTATGCAATACATGAAAAACGGTATATGCAGGAGCTAGGAAATGTACCAAGTAAACGTGCAATAAAGTTGAGGAAAACCCTAATCGTACGAACACGACATAGGCGTTATGCAAACTCTGCGTCTGATATTTAGGGGGTATTATATCCAACTGTCTTTAAAACTATCTACAAAGCGGCCGTATCTTTGAACATATTATATCGGCACAAGCGGCTTCCGAAATAACGCTTCAGTTTTTTCTAGTTATGACTTTCACAAATATGGCGAGTGTATGAAGCTTCAGTAAACAGTCGTTACGGTAAAGAAATGCTCGAACTTACGCAGCGCCGTTCTACTTTTTGCCTTTAGGAGTAATGTACAGCGGTAGTTAGTGCATTGATTAGCAAAATGCGTCCAATTACATAAAGAGTAATAACTTTTCAGAAGAATATTCGAACTGTCTTAAAGAAATAATAAGACGTCAACAGCAAATCACCAGTTACTTTCTACCTTTTCATTATTACAACTTTGAAGACACGGGCTGCTATACGTCGCGCTTTAAAATAGTCCACACGATTCATTTGCAATTTGCCAAGAGGACCAGCCAGATTTTACTGTCCCATCACTCTTGAAACCCAAGTCAATGGCTTTCATAAGCAGAATTCAGTGTGCTTGACTATTTTATCTAGTGGGTCATGGCGCGAGACCTATCCTTTTTCCGACATCGTTACCCCTTACCGTCACCATAAATAGGACTTGGACTTCGCATTGTACACTTATTCGCTATAGAATAAAGACGAAAGTGACGCAAATAGTGTGGTTCTGACTCCATCATTTTAGTGAATTTAAAGGAAACAACGCAATATTTCGCACTATACTAAGAGACTTATTCAGATCCTCTAAAATATTCTTTCATAATAATTAGATAAAATGCAGTTATCATCAGTTTTTCAAACGACTTGATTTCATTAGTTCAGTCTCGACTTCTGATAGACTCCGATTTTGAAAATGATTGAAGAACTCTTTTTTAGGCAAATTATATAAGAACATGTGATCAAAACGCGTAACAGTAAAACCTCACAAGCACTAAAAGAGGCCATTCTCAGGATATTTTTTAATAAATGTGAGGGCATTAACACTGGTGAGCTCATCGTATTTTAAAAGTACCCGAACTGACAATAGACTCTATGGTTTGACTTATGTTATTCGCACATGAAATTAGGATTTTGAACAATTTTGCACAGACGTACTTCGTATTTACAGCCGCTTGAAGTACTTGTGAGAAATGCCTACGAAGACCGAACTTAGAGAGAATTTCGGCACAACAAATACACGTTGGGACCTGCACTCTTATTATCTGTTTGATCATTCGGCACACTTATATATAAAGTGCGGAGACCTCCGCAAAACTCGCAGGTCTTTGTTACTACGTTTAGGTTAGGCGTTAGTTAACATACCCAGCCAAGACTTTACGATTGAGTTATCTACAGAAAAATAAAAAAGGAGCGTTTGGAGATATTACGAGCCCGATGCAAAATATTGTTGTATAATATCTACTCCAAATGTTAAAGAATAACTCCTAACATTGAACGCAGGGCCGCGTTCAGGTTTCTAAATTCAGTACCCAAATGCAGGAATATTCTTCAGTTACAACTGATAATTCAAAATGCATGGGATTGTCAAAAACAATATAGTGAAGTGACTGGCGGATGGCATAAACGTGAGGTGGGAAATGAGTTTTGTCTTGATATGTTGGGATTTTGATAACTGTTAGGTAGTCGCATTTGTATTTTATATATAAACAGGGCACAGTAAAGAACTAAGGCATGCTTTTAGTTTATCTGCGAATGTTATAATAGTGCTAATTATTTGGGCAATTTTATTAATCGTTTCGTCGGCAAAAAGTTTACGTTAAATACGGTTTGACTAACCGAAGACGCTCGGGAGAAAGACTTTTACTAAAAAAGAACGTTCAATGGGAAAAAAATAATTCTTGATTTTCAAAACCGTGGCATGATTTGCTTCACTCATCAACATTTAATTTAATGTGGAATTACCGACTGCCACAATGTCGTCTGTGAAGGCAGAGTAGGAAGATAAGATGCTGTCAACATAAATTTAAATAATCCAATTGTGTTTAAACTTACCTGACATGAATTTAAATAACGCTGACCCTAAATCACGAGGTAAAATTCAAAAAGTTATATGGACTGCTTAACAACGACTGCTGATAGTTCATCTATAGGATCGTACAGAAATAAATTAGTGGAAACTGTTAATTAAAAAAAATATTTTTAATACTTCATGCCTAATAAAAATTTAGATTTCACTTGCATTTCTCTTGGGGATCTTGAAAAAGGAAACACAGAACCACATTTAACGTATGACTAGTAATCGTTCCTATTTATCTAACATTTAGTGGAAAATAAATTAACGCTTCGGTCTGGTTCCCGACTGTTGCAACATACAGAGTTGTGCGAACTTACTTATCACGAGTTTCACAGCCAATTTGACTAAATGTCCAAAGAAAACGCAAACTAATGTTTAGATACCTATTTAGTTATGGTTTTTGTTGAAATCAAAAATATCCGTTTTGCCAATTAAATAAACCTGAAGGATCTTTTTCGCTTATATAGACTAAGCGGTTTAGCGATGGTTGATTGCAGTCATGAGGAACTCTGTGGACACGTTTACTTTTAAATGTAACACGATCAGTTTTGTTTTGCGCTAACCGCAGGGTAACACCATTAATAGAGTCACGCCAACCTTAGAATAGGGACTGTCATTGAAAAGTTCCTTTATTTTAAAAACAATGCACTACGCATTCGCATTTTCAACGGACTTAAGCAGCTTGTAGTTTGTGATGATACTGAATTAGTAAACGTACCGATGCCAGTTAAAATCCCTAAGTGTCAGAAAAGCCCCAATCAGCTACATGTGAATTTAATGCACGAAAAGTCTAGCAATTGTTTGACAAAATGGCTTTTAGATTCTTCGAAAAACGTGAAAACGTACCAACTATCGCTTTTGCCACCTCATCTAGGGAGCATTAACATGAATACACGAAAGAGCAGAACTTTTGAATTACGTGGCGCAATTATATGGAATTGATAACAGGACACTGAATGTCACATACCGGTCAATGATTTGAACAGTGTGCGCACTAAAATAAAAAGAAAATTTCTGCTGCTATTTTGTTGCGCTGCTGGCATAACTGTACACGCCAAATACAATGATCGTTGAATAACTTCGTCTTAGTATGGCATATTTCGTTTGGATTTGGAAACAAATAATGACGTACGTAGTTTCGCCAGTGGGTCTAAAAACATGCAGCGAAGGGTAAGGATGCTAGGAGCGAAATATCTAAGATGTCTTTCAATAAAACCAAACATGGTCAAAATTGTACCTTGCAAGATAGCTGTTAACACCGATGCTGACAATAAAAAGACAGTATGAAGGTTAACTAATCCCTCAGAATACTAAACGGGCTGACGAAAATTGATCTCAATATCTTCTTGGCTATAGAAGCAGAATGGGCAGATTTGCTTACTCAGGTCCTCTCCCTCAGCTGAAAATATAAGTAGACTCTCATTTTTCCATCGGTAGTTTTATCTTATTTGTGTGATCGAAGGTCAACTCGTAAGAAATTACCTCCAAAAATCCTGAATAATTCCAGGGCTAGAATTTAAACATGATAAGCATTTTTCTGTGTTGTTCAAAAAATTCGCTCTATTGATAGCTACTTACCTATGTCCGTTCCATTCGCTAAATTTTAAGTATGTTTCGTTAGTTTGATTGCGAGCTATTTTCCTTGAGTTTTTAACTGAAAGGTTAAGAGCTACCTTTGATAAATTGTAATGTAGTTTTGCTTTCTAAAAAGGCAAAAGTCCATGCTGCAAATGACGTTTTACCACAAGAAGGGCATGCAGATGTGTGCTTTAAGTCGCTTTTGAAATACTATGTAATCCATACTGAACGGAATTATAGGAACCAGTATTGTTAAAAAATATCTGACACTTTCGTACCACTTCCCATTTGACCATCTTGTCTGCCTATCGAGTAGTGACGTCTATCTCCGACTATTAGAATACTTCTCCCTTCGAAGACTATTAACTGTGCATCTGGCTGAGCGGTCACATATTTCATGCTTCTAAACAATACAGGAATTATAAAGTAGCTTTCGGCTTAGGTTGATCTAACTGACCGTCTAGTAGTAAAATTTACATTGCCTCGACGGAGTTCGAACACATGAAAAGAATAGCAAGATTCAAGATTCCTGACGATGCCTTCGGAAACAGTTTGTAGACTATTGATCTTGTGACTGTTTATCATATCTTTCACAGTTTCAAGCCCTGTCAATGCCATGTAGCTGTTTAAGCGACAAAAACGTTTTTTAATTGCTGACTGCACGTACAATTATATTTGTGATTTTTTGTCGTTCAAAATATTCGAGAACAAGAACACGACAAAAAAGCCATATTCGGTGGTAAAACGATCGTCAAATGTCAGTACATGAGAGCCTTTAACAATTACATTCCGGTTCATTTCTACAAACGTTCTTCTGTAAGTTGTACACTGTAAGTTTGTATTTAAACTGGTGAGTATTTATCTCGGAGGTACTCCTTTTGAGTATTAAGTCGATTTTCGGCTTTATACTGATAATCAGAAAACACTGATTTGGTTTTCGATTTAAAACTCATCAGGCCACCTAGTGCAACAGAAAATGAAGAAACGAACGTGCTCACGCTTACAAAGCTACTTTGGTTTTCTCAAAATGCATGCTGTTATGTTCCCGGGAAGGGATAGTCAGCGATTGACCTCAGTAGTACAGCTCTTAAGAGTTTCGCCTTATTGAAAATTTTTAGGTAGGAAACATTTAGGCGGTCGGTATTTTTGCACAACGATATAATACACTTATTTTGAAGGGAGTGCTTCTCGAGATACAAGGCCCTTTGTGTGTAAACTGACATTCCTATATCTAAGAAAAATTCACATGATTCTGAGTGTCTAAAACAGTGGAAATTTGTTTGCAAATGTTTGGTTTTTGGAGAGGCATTAAGAAAACGAGATCAAAGATTAAGTCAATGCCTTCCAAAATGGAAAATTTGTTTTCTGTGTCCGTGAGGACCAGTTGAGGCCAAAGACGAAAAACTGGAGCCTTTTCAAGAAAAGGTGAGCAGGACTATCTTTAAAAACTGAACTTGCAAACTTGTATTATTGTATGCGATAAAATGGTATAGTAGCCAGTTTTATCGCAGTGATAATCAAAAGACTTAAAGAAGTATTTGCGAAGTACGTTTGATCTTTTTCATTCGTCTTATTCAGCTTTGCAATAAATACATCCTAAAATTTTGCTGGAGGAATGCGTACTTTTATACACCCGCGAAAATTCATGACAAAAGTAGAAAATGGCGATTCGACAAATAAAAAGCACATGAAGTGAAAATGATAATCGCGAAATATCACTGTATGAAATTTGCTGGCTTTGACATACGATTTTTCATTTGTATGTATTCTTTCCCTGTAAGTTGCAAAAATAACAGTTTGTCATAAATAGGCGTCTTTGCGGATTTCGAATAATTTGTTTTGGCATTGAAAAATAACTGTGCCAGCTTGTTTAATAACTTGAGTTTCGTTACACTATGGTAAACCGAATAAATGTGTTTAAATTTTACGGTTTAAAACAGACATTGACGTAAAGAACTTGGTATATTCTTACAAAGTTCCTGGGTTTTGCCTAAAATGAGGATATAATTTATTTAAGGGAGGAGCCGTCAGCAGCTTCGTAAGTTGAATAAGTGACGAGCGTTTTTGCTTGATATCTAACTAACTCTAACGGAGTGCACAAGATGCCTGGTCATTTGCACACAACATCCCTATTTTTAAAGATTACCTTTTCATGTTCTAGTTCGTTATTGCGTAAAAGCAGACGGTGTTATATGTTTGTATAAGCATTGCTGACTTAGAGTCTTGCGGAACATAAGCGCATACTTTCCGATATTCAGGTTGAAAGGGTATGGCGATACACGTTGGAAGTGTACATTAAGTGACTTCTGATATTCCTGCTCTAGGCATATCTGACCAACTGCAAAAACAATTCTTTTTCAGCCAAAAATATGTGATTTATAAACAAAACAGTGTGTTCATTTACCAGCTTTCAACTTAACATGACATCATTATATGTAATTCCGGCGAACTTTTGCAAGTTAATAGTGGCAGATTCCGCAATAGAGGATTGTCAGTGCAAATTTCCGTGGACACGATAGGATGGATTAACGTCATGCAAAAAGCGTGAGTGGCCATGCCGGCTTATTTATATCCTTACCTTTGAGGATGCTGGATATAAGATTTTCTGAAATTTATAGTAAAGCTGCGTTAGGATTCCACTGAATTATGACTAGTGCAATACGTGCAACGTAAAATCTGTTTACATCAAGTCGGTTAAAACATCGAACTGCCTAAAATAATAGTAACTACAAATATAAATTAACGTTAAAATATACTTCCAAATTAATGAAACAACGGTTAAACCATACATGAACGCACTGTTCACCTTCTGAAATAAATATATTATTTGTTCAAACGTACCCCAGTTTTTATCTGAATATTAAAGTTTCTCCGTTGTGAATAACATTGTTCAGTAGTATTATGAGCATAGTGTTATATTGAATAGACGTAATGTAAACACTTGTATTAAAAGTCTGCAGCTTTCTAACCAGTCGAAAATCAAGGTCGCTCTGCTGGGACTTGCCTTTTGCAAATTGAATTAAAGCCGTAGCTGCAAAATAAAAGTCAGAAAACCCATTAAATTTTAGCGGAAAATGGCAAAATAACAACATTGATAGATATGCCATCGTTTTTCATTTGTGGTCCGATATTCGATTAGTGGAAGCGTAAGTACTCATCTGCATATTAATATATCGGAGGTTGATAATTTGCTTTAGCATTTTATTTATTCATAAAAACGTCATTATATATTACCTGCAGTGCGGCAAGTGTGTTGCGTTTAGCTAGCATTTAGACGCACTGAAGCCATCAACACTAATTCGCTTGCTGCCCATGTCATTTTCATTTTGATCGCATTTTTGCTTTTATGACGCTTTTGCGTAGAGATAGCATTTGGATCACTACTTGAAAGTCACTAGTTCCAAAGTGAATGAAATTAACAGGCGATGACAGGCCCAATTTTATACTGCGGAGCATTTTACTATAATTCCAAAATACAACGAACTTGTTTTTCAACTCTGACCTGGCTCGGGTCTATTTGTACTTACTCTTAAATACCTAGCTCGACACATTTGACTTACCTACGTCCAATAGACTTTCTAGAAAAAAATCATTGAAACGTTTTAACTTCTGTTTTTCTGTAGGATTTTATTTGACATAGTGGAGTTGGAATTTAAATTAGCCAGAACTGAAAGGCCTTCCTACCTCTTCCGAGTTTTTCAAGTCTTGCAACTTAAGAAATATTGAAAGAAATTAAGTAAAACCATCTGAATTAAAAAATGGACGCAATGTAGATAAAACTATGCGGCCTAGCTGACCGCGTGGTTTATAATCATTCCGAGAAAATTGAAAGTACTAAGTCTAATCATGATGCTATGGATGAGTTCTCATCTCCGCAAACCGTCTTACTGCTCTTAAATCTTCAGCTTAGTTATTTATGAACATAGAGACGCAATTTCGGCAACCGTATATATGGTTTTAACGACAACCAATTGCTAGTGACCGGAAAATGTATATTAAAGAGTCCTTACGCAGCTGACTCCAAACACCTAACAGACAAAAAGTGGTGGCATGTTAATATACAACACTTTGGAAATTAATATTAACGTGCCTATAGACAAACATATTAGTTATGCAAATTCGTTAAGTGACTAACTTTTGAGTAGAGTCAACGGGTAGTTTTCTGTAATTAAAAATATAAAAACGTCGTCATGCGTCTGAATTCTAAAAAGTCTAGAGAACGCGCGCTCTGTTGTCTGAGTTTCCATGTGTAGCAATATTGTTTATACCCGGTTGCCTTAGGGAACTGAAAGTAATCTGCATTGTAAAGCAGAGATATGATTTTAGCTATATATATCTTAGGTCGTCTGGACATATTCTGCTATGGCGTGACTGAATACAAATTATTTAGCGTCTTCAGAGTTGCCTGCCGATGTACGTCTCCTGGTAAACTCCTCCACATTAGTTGCAGATTTACTTGAGGTAAAAATTTGGAAGCGGATTTATATGAATAAAAAATAAGGTAGTTTGGACAAAACTTACTAGGTGTGTCATCGCCTAAAAGAGACAACATTTTTGCTTTAAAGCAATCAGGCATAACCCACTGCGGAAAGAAAGGACATTGCCAAAACATCGGATAATTATCGATACATTTTAATTTTAATTAATGTCTAGAAGTGACTTGCTAAAAGATTTCTCTTTGTGCGCAGAAACAGAGTTGTGTGCGACGGGTTAAGTAAATTTGCCATTTATGGTTAACCTTGACTTGAACGTCTAGCTAACACGACAATTAAGTGCAGTGTACAGAACGTTGAAATATATCACTTCTCTAAAGGAGTGATGAGAAATTAGGCAAAGCATGTCTTGTCATTATCTTTCGGGATTTAAGATAGGATTTGTAAATTTTACGTAGGTGTCTAAATTGAGAGCTCTCAAGTCTTAATTTTAAACGAAACCGCTCTTATATTTCAGCAGACGACGGTTGTTTAAGTTTTATTACGACCAGATATGTATGTGGACAGGTTTTGAGCAGTAAAGATTGCGTAGTCTGGTAAAACACTTTATCAGAGAGTCCTGATGTCTAAAAATAGCGTTCAACATAATTTCTTCACCTAAATGCGAAGGCAAAGAGGGTTGTAGGTGAAATATGTTTGAATATCGAAAACAAATAGGTCTATGCATGCTTTATGTATTTTTTGTTATTTGTTGTTTTTTTCACCGTAGATAACTGCAAATTTAAGGAAAGTTAGAAGATTCCACCAGCATATGACATTTTGTGATTATATGTTCACACAAATCCCATTGAAACATGGTGGGATATCAATGATAATAATCTGCCTATTTAGATTTAAATTCGGCATCTGCCTAATATTGCAACGATGCCAACATAAGTTTAAATAATCAGGTTGAAGTACAAGAACTCAAACATATAAACGCACTCGTACTTCCCTCCTTCGGAGTTGTGGACGCTATAAAAATGGAAGTTTCGTTAATAATATATCTCTTGGTCATATGTGTGCCGTAACATAAGCGTTACGTTGCATTGTATGGAACACACTATAAATAAAGTAAACGGACACGTGGCCTCAAGAATTCTTGTCGAAACGTACGCTTATTTGTTCTGTTTTGAAGAATTTACTTAAATGCGGGGACTTATAAAACTGGATCTTATTTCGACACACCAATAATGAGCCAGTGGCTGATTGACGGCAGACCTTAAGTCAAAACTGGCTATTTCAACATCACACACCGAGTGACTGCATAACGGTTCGATAATACGTATATTGGACCGTAAGCGTACACGAAATTTGTTGGTTCCTGTTTTAAATAATTGACTTAAGACTGTCTGGAACATCTGACAACACATCTGTTTGCTACAGTTTTCGAGTGATCTAACTTGCATCTCAAAAGTCGGCCTCTTACTTGCCTCAGGTGCCACTGGATTTAAAAACTTAAATATACTCCAGTAGTCGTTTATATTAGGAAAATATTCTTTACCGCTAATACGTTTTTGAGAACGATATTTTTACTTATTATGGTAGTGCATGCCAGGCAAATGAAAACCAAAATCATATCATGTTCGACTCACGTGCAGGAGCAGCACACACGGCCGCAATAAGCAGGCAACAGACAATCAGTTTATGCATGGCGAGAAGCTATTTTGCCTCCCCAAGCTGCGCTTTTTATAGGGGAGCTTATTCGAGCGCCACCACATGCGCACGCCACTTCAACAGATAAATTCTAATGTTAAAAAAACATCTCGTATCCAAAGTGCGTGCAAGTGAGTGCAATTTTTGTTATTTCAACCTTAAATATCAATAGCAAAATTTTTTTCTTAGATAAGGCATGCAGATGCATCTATTTAAAGAAACTTGTAGTCCATGGAGACGGCTCTAAGCGTAAGTGACATAAAGAAAACGAGTATCAAATCTGAATTTTTTCTCGGATGAGGTTAAGTGCAGAAATGGGATCATAAGTATCAATGGGAAAAGGTGTGACGGAAATGCAAGGAGTCCTTAACGGTGTATGATTATTCGAATTTGCAAATACAGTAATGACAAATATAGGACTTACAGATCTAAGCACGTTTATTGTTGAACAGGCATGAACCACAAACGGTAAATATGCTATGACGCCCTGTCGATATTTCCTTTCTACTAAAACGACAAACCCTTTCATGCAAACGATAGAAACAAAATAGGACACATTCACAAAACATTTTTAAAATGAATTATGAGAATCGAGGACTGTTCTTGTCCTAGCTGTTATTATTGTGATTATCCAAATTAGGCTTGCCATTCGCTTGAATTAGTAGACATTGCCACCCTCTCGAATCGCGCGGCCAACCAATTTTCAATTTGAATGGATGGTTTACCTGGCCTCTAAGATCAATCCGTGATGTACGGCAGTTTGAAATACGCAGAGTATGTAGGCCAAGCAAGCAGGAAGCATACATGGTTGTCCGGCGCTTCAGCGCATTTCAAATGCATAAGATATTTAACGAAGGCGTAAGTCAGTGGCAACATTGCCAAGTTAACTTATGAAAGATTTCAATCGTTAAAATATATTAGGTAACTGCGGGGAGTATTGTATTTCTTAGGTATTTGGTCTACAGATCTGGTGAACGTTCGTCACAATGCGCAACAAAGAACGCATCGACGATGTCCATCTAAGTGGATAGTAATTTGCCCCGTCTTTTAAAAAATGGGCAGCAACCGTTAGGTTTCTGGAGCCTAACTGATAAAATACGTTTCTCTTTACTGTTTGTTATTGTGCTAGACCTCTGACTATGTTAGAAACATTAAATCTGAACAAGAACACCCCATTTACAGACATTCACGATATTGTAGGACAAGGTGATACGCACGTTATCGTTCTCCTGTGGTCCAGGATTCGGCCATATATTAATGTACTAATAACGTAGGAGCTTGCTGTGCGCAACTAAAATTTTTGTGTTCAAAATTCCGAACTGCAAAATCACTTAGTATCATGAACACAATGTAATACAAGCTACCTCGTGAATTCGTTTGTGTATTTGAAATTCAAAATGCGTGCAAATAAAACTTACTTTATCGATAGTGTAACTTTAGCGAAAGTCCTTTGAAATAACTTACAAAGGTCTCCTGACCATTCCTATAAGAAATAATTTCCTGCAAATATTCCTTCGATATAGTGACCGACTAGTTCAGTACCATAAGCTCATAGTAAATTGCTCTTCTCTATGGGGGATATTCAGTTGCATACATATGGTACGTAACTGATCGAGCTCAGCAGGGAACATGCTTATTATGTTCTGCCTCGAATTTTCAACCCACATATCACGCGTGTGGCTACATAAGAACGAGACATTAGTTTAACAGGAATATTGACAAAGATAAGGCAAACAAGAATTAAGTCACATAAATATGGCAAATCATTGGTACAGCTCAACCAGAAACATGCTTTTGATTTTCAACCTAAATTGTGAACGTGGGGCCACGTAACCACTGATCTCTGGAATAGATATGCTGAAGATTATAAGGCATACCAGGAGGGTAAGCACCAACCTATTTATCATACCCCTTTGCCATATCGGATATATCTGCGTTTTAGACCTGCTGCAATGGTTTCTCATGCCATTAAGCCAAAAGCTCTGTTGTTCACGCCATAAGCTGACTGATTTTATTATCCCCAAGTTCCATAAATCAAGCATAAATAGTTCAATTATTTTGATTTTGTTGTAAATCTGGAGGTCAACCTATGACTATCGAGACAATAAACATAACATACCTAAAATGGTGGTGTCTACATGGAACAGTGTTAGGCTAATGGTCCCTGCGTACGTTGCAGACTGTGCAATGTTACACTAAAATGGAACGACTTTAGCTTGAACACTGACCTAATTTTCAGCTCGGGGATAACTACGATTGTAAGGTGACAAAGACTTTTTAGTATTCAGGGACCACACTTTGTCTCACCATGAACGTTCTCTGTATTTGTGAATTTACATTTTCACTGTGACCCGATTAATGGCTAATTGATTGTTGAGGGAAAATATTTTAACGGCTCATTGTAATTCATCGTTTGTGGTGACCGAACTATCTCACGTCCCGCCCAACTTTGTGCAACAAGAGCTTGTGTAGAACGATGGAATCCACTGATAATCCCAAACCCTTGATTTAAACCATAAAGTCGGAGAATTTAGGCGAAATACGGCCATGCCCATAAAATAGTTGCTCAAGAAGGACCAAGCGCAGTATGGCTAGATCTTTACGACAAATCTCCAGAGTCTGGGGTTTTGCATGCCTCTTCAAATAATACAGCAGGTATTCGGTGGCTTCACGTGCTTTACCCAACAGAAAAGCAGCTTTACTTTTGGCAGAACTCCCATTTGTACTTTGTATATTCAGGTCGTTTAACCAACAGTCTTTATGGCCACCATACATATTATCGAATGATGAGAATGTCCGTGCACAGTAACAGACTTTCATATCAGGAAAAAAAACAGAGTTTTCGTTCATACTGAACTACACATTCCTGGTCGTTGGGGGAGGTAAAAGTAAAGCGACCAAAGATTCAGGACTGAGTATGCATCAAACGTTAACCAGTTAGGGACCGAAATATGGATTCCCCCGCATTGTACATTGCCTTGTCCTAAAGTCAAGGTGAGGCTAGTATTGGGGTTTGAAAAATTAGGGTTAAAGTCGTGGTTAGGGTTTGGAGTAAAGACAAAACGCGGAAAAATAAATTCCCCAGGAGTGTTGCGCGTGGCTACCTGTGGTACTAGGGAGGTCCATTTTCCCGTGTCCAACACATTTGTCATGCCTCTCTCATATTAATTTCCAAAAGGTCAGGCCTATTGTGAATAAATTACAAACGTCTTTACTGATTTGTTTAATGAATCGACAGAAGAACTAGAGATACTACTCAGCAAGCCAATTTTACAGCTAGTGCAATGCCAAGGACAAAGCTTCTACATGATTTTAGTAGCAGGCTTTAAAGTATATATTAGTGTTGATTCCATTTTTTGCTTTAAACAGACCAGTAATTTAAACGTTTCGTTTTAGATTGTTAAGAAATCAGTCTATGCTAATCCCAAGTAGGTTGGTTTGTCTTACGTTACCTTGTCAACAGATGACTCGCCACCTTTCAGCGAACTCACCCGGGTTTGTTGTAGATCAGATTTAGTGTTTACTTGCGAAACCTTGTACCTTTGTGATTGTGAAGGCTTATTGACGCTCCTTTGTAGGTGTGATGGCAAAATTCCTTTGTTGACGCCGGATATAAAGGCAAAGAAACCTATCACATATAGTCATTTCCAGGTCTCGTTAAGGTAAACCGAACTTTTCCGCAGGCTTTTAGTGACCTTATTTTGATTCTCCTTTTAACCGTCATTATCAGACATGAACGAATTATCGGAACCTCTACGAATTCTGCGATGTCAATTAAACTTGACGTTGAGAAATACTTTAACGTTCGAAAGATACTGAAGGTCATATGCAGCCTGAAAATCCTCAAGAAGAAAAAGGCTATCTACATAAATCATAAGTTGAAAATACTTTTCTTTCATGAAGGCACTACAAGGTATAATCCACCAAATTCAGATCCAATGACCGATATAACGATATGCGCACCTGTCAAGTGGGATAGTTAAACAAACACGAAAGTTTTCAAGTCACCAATCAGGGCAGACAGAGTTGTTGATATGCTTTTACTGAGAGGAAACATCTTAGAGGCAGCTCAATTAGTAGTTTTAAGAAGTCGTCTCTTCTGGCGAGTGCCCACCATTAAGATTCTCAGCCCCAAGCGCGTGTGTCCAAATTTCTGCTGTCCGAGCTCTGTCCATCTGCATACAATCTGCGAGGGAGGAGTGCTGATTGACTCTCGTTCCTGAAACATTTTGCCCTCTTACATAGATAGAGATACACAGGATCAAAACGATAACTGTCTCGGCAAATTTCCTGCTTGAGCACTGGTAGGGCCGAAAGTGTGCATATCGCGAGACTTGCTTTCATTAGTAAACTGGGCATAAACGGCAACCGTTATCCCGAACTTACTGCCATATGTTTATGACAAACAAAATAAACGTGTTTTATTTGCTTTACTACCAGCGGCTTCGCAGACTGTTGGATCTGAGTATTTCCCAAGTCACTCCTAAGGCACTTAACTAGCACTTCTCTACAGAGGGTTACTTTATAAACACAACAGATGTTCACGAATGAAATAGAAAATGCGCATCCCAGGTCCTTGTTTAAACGAAGACGAAGGTATGATCACTGGAACGGTAGTATTATTAATCTTAGCTTTGAACTCGGACATTCTATGATAATGAACTCCCGTTCGTGTTCGAAAGCTATGGTCCATAAAGCTACCGTTTCCGTAATCATGCCTTCGTTTTCTTTCGACCAATTAATGTAACGCTAATTCTTTAAAGCACAATAGCCGGCATCACGCACGCTATGAACTATTTGCCGTTGATGAAAAAGATTATCTGACACCAAAAGTAGGTCAGCTCGGAGCTCGACAGTAAATCCTTGCTGGCACTAATGGTGCTTCAGGCGTGGTATGCTTCATAGCGTTCTCGACGTACAAATCAATAAGTCTGTTGATTATTAAAGTGCCTCTCTGAGGAAAGTTCTCTGGGATTGCTTTTACAAAATATTTTAAG